GGACGAAAAGCATGACTCAGTGGTGCATTCAGGGACCCTCCTTGAACGAGGTAGGAGGATGTTCTGTAACAAACATCTGAGGCCACACTTCATTTCACTGAAGCTCAGGCTTAATAGGAGAATCAAACGTAAAAACTAAGAAAACAAGGATACAAGCAAACTGTCATTAGTTTCTGTAACTTTGAACGCATTTTGTAAAAACACTATCATTGATTTTGGAATACAGTTTTACGAAACAAAATATAGTGCTTCATACTTTTATAGACTCAAGATAAATCAATCTAGTTTTCTATGTCTTCTTTCTTTTCACAACAGCACAACCAAATGATCAGATTTGTGTGTTTTAAGCATTTTTAGAACATATACAGTTGAGGCCTAAATTATTAGCCCCCCAAGAGTTATGGAACATTTTCCTAAAATTCTTCCCAATGTTTCCAGCATTGATACAACTTGATATAATCAAACATTCACCAGTGCTATTTAGTAGCTTTTGGTATATTTTGAAACATAAAATAAGTTTTTAGGCTTGCTTTATATCAAATATAGTGAAAAATGGGTTGGTCAAAAATATTAGCCCCCAGGCCATTAATAGTCAATAGTGTAACCTATCTGAGCCACAATTGACAACAACCTCTTAGAGTAGTTCTTTACTAGGTTGGCACAGGTCTCTTGAGGGATTTTGGCCCATTCTTCCATTGCAAATTGTTCCAGCCGGTCCAAATTGCGTGGTTTCCGAGCATGGACATTCACTTTGAGCACCCACCACAGATTCTCAATAGGATTAAGATCTGGGCTATGTGTGGGCCACTCCAGCACCTTGGTTTTGGTGTTCTTTAGGAACTGTTGGACCAATTTTGATGTGTGCTTTGGATCATTGTCTTGTTGGAAGACCCAGCGACGACCTAAGCGAAGACTAAGAGCAGATTTTTTCATATTATCCCTCAAAATGTCAACATAATTTAAATGTTTCATGATGCCTTGCACCCGAACAAGGCTCCCTGTGCCTGAGGCTGCAAAACAGCCCCACAGCATGATGTGTTCTTAGGGTTGAAGGCCTCTCCCTTTCTTCGCCAAACATGAGCAACATCCATTTGCCCAAACAGTTCCAGTTTAGTCTCATCAGACCAAAGCACGGACTTCCAAAACGCATCTTTACCTTTCAAATGTTCACAGGCAAACCTCAGTCTGGCTCTGATGTGCCAAACTTTGAGTAAAGGGGTTCTTCTGGGACGATGGCCCTGAAGCCCAACACGATGAAGAGCCCTCACCACTGTGTTCCTTGAAACATCAACTCCAGAAGAGGCCAGGTCAGCAACAATCATCTTGGCAGATGTCCGGGGATTCTTCACACGCACACCACACACACACACACACACAAAACACACACACACCACACACACACACACACACACACACCACACACACACACACAACACACACACACAGCACACACACACACACACACACACAACACACATATGTCAACTCCGGATTTACTAATCGGGGGGTCCTCAATACCTGAAAAGGATGTAAAAGGATTTTCACGATAAAATCAATCAAAACCATGTAAAAACCTTTTATTTTATTAAAAATCCGAACGAAATTAGTTTATAATCACTTTTTATCCAACGCAGTTTTTATATCCGGGTAACACTTAGAAACGAAAATTTTGTGGATAGTTAGCTAGTCGAAAGTTTGGTGGGACTTGTAAGTAGTCGTATTTTTCTGAGGTTCTTTGTGTCCGTGAGACATAGTGGAATATCCTTCCTGATATGGATGTATGGGATGAGGTGTACGGTTGCTGTTTCCTTTAGTCATAACTCGAGTCTTCCTTCTATAACCTGCCGATACTATTCCCCCCTTCCGATGTGACGATACAGGTTCGCGAGTGTCACAGATCCTTGACGACAATGCAACGTAGTAACGCTTTCAGTTCCTCTTGAAGACATTCTTGTTTGGACGTTCTAAAGTTTGTTGAGACCCTCCATTACATCAGTCTC